TCCTTGCAGCTGAGCTGACCTGCAGCGCCCGCCTGACGGTGCGGCCCTCTGTCCAGCCGCTCTTCACGCGCAAGCTGGAGGATGTGGACGTGGTGGAGGGACGGACGGCGCGCTTTGACTGCATGATCAGCGGGACGCCCCCACCGACTGTCATCTGGACCCACTTTGGTAATCCCCCAAGCCCAGGACTCACCTGGGGCTCTGCCAGGCTGAATGGAGATGCAGAGCCCCAGCGGGGGGTACCACTGGGGCCGGCAGCAGGGTGCTCATTCTGTGTGTGTGTCTCCATGCAGGGCAGCCAGTGCAGGAAGGGGAGAATGTGCGGATTCAGCGGGACGGGGGGCTCTACTCGCTAGTCATCGTGCACGTGGGCAGCGAGGATGAGGGGCACTACACTGTCACCGCCAGGAACATCCATGGACACGTGGAGTGCTCTGCCGAGCTCTACGTGGAGGAACCTCGACCCTCCGCTGCTTCCCAGATGTAAGAGCCAGGAGGAGGGCCTCTGGGGAGAAGGGAATGGACTCCCTGGGGTGGAAGGAACTGCCTTCCCCCACTCACTATCCCATGGGATTTGGAGAACAACAGACTTGCGCAAAGGGCTGGAGAATTCCCTGGTGTGCCTGGGCCGCATCCCTCCCAGCAAGGCAGGGAATGTCCTTGGCCCCCAGGTCCAAGGCGGGCCCTGCAGTGGCTGCACCATCAGCACATCCTGCTGCCCGCAGCCTGGCACCGCTGCATGCCTGGGGCGCCCTGGTGTGTCCGGCTGCGCTTCCCTGCGGAGCTGTGCCGGGCCGAGCCGCGCGGTGCCGTACGGCGCCGGCTCTGTGAGAACTTGGCCCAGCTGCAGTTCTCACTGCTCTGCGGAGCCGCCCTCCCGCCCCCGGCCCACCGCGGCTACACGCGGTCACATCCCCGCTTGGCTCCGTCCTGCAGCAGCTCCCAGCTGGGGACACCATCCCAGGGGGCAGAAATGGCCCTCGGGGGCTGCTCCCTTTCCTGGGATGTCCCCTGCAGACTCTCAGCCCTTAGTCCTGCTGCAAGGAGCACCAGGATGGAGCTACGGGGTTCCCTGCAGGGTCATCCTTGCAGCTGTGCCATGGGGTGACAGCTCCCCCCTGGGACGGTAGGGCATGTCACCCGGGCCTGCCTGGTCCTGTCGGCTTCCCAGGGGCTCCTTACATCTCTCCTGGGACTGGGAAGGGAACCTTGCAGACACAGCTGTCCCCGCGAGCCTCTCTTCCCAGCACAGCCCTGCTCCCGCCTGGGACATGCACCGGCGGGGTGCCATCCCACATAACACCTGCCTGCTCTGTGAGCCTCTGGGGAGGCTCCCAGCCCCTCTGCATGGCAAGTCCCTGCCCCAGCCACCCCCCGTCATCGCCGTGCTTGTCAGGCAGCATATGTGGTCCTGGGGAGTGCTGCAGCAGGCTGGGCTGGGGGCTCCCTGCTGCACCTCACATGGAGCCCACACGGTGGTGGTTGCAGCTCCAAGCTGGAGAAGATGCCATCCATCCCGGAGGAGCCGGAGCAGGCAGAAAATGAGATGGAGTGCTTCACCATGCCTGACTTCCTCAAGCCACTGAACAACCTGGATGTGGTGGAATCCAAGGAGGCGGTGCTGGAGTGCCAGGTGGCCGGGATGCCCTACCCCTCCATCACCTGGTTCCACAACGGCTCACGCATTGACAGCACCGACGACCGCAAGATGATGCAGTGTAGGGCTCCCTGCGTCCTGGGGCTGCGTGTTCTGTAGTGGGGCTGGCAGTGGGGCTGCCACCAGGGCTTCCAGCACTGCAGTGACACCAGCGTGGGGTGGAGAGAGCGGGGACGGTGCAGCCCCTACAGCCCTGCTCGTGGTCCCCTGGGAAGGACACGGCACCTCCTTAGCTTTCATACCCGCTCTGCATGCTGACTCCCCAGCCTGACCGTCTGTGGGAAAGGTAGCTCTGTGCTGCTTTGCTGATGGAGATCTTCCCTCCCTGTGTCTGCCTCGTCCCCACAGATAAGGATATCCATCGCTTGGTGTTCACGGCCGTCAGCCACGCACATGCTGGTGTCTATAAAAGCGTCATTGCCAACAAAGTAGGGAAGGCCACGTGCTACGCACACCTCTATGTCACAGGTAAGGAGCGGTACTGCTGGGGCTTCACAGACACTCATTGCCACCCCCCAGGCTGTGCCCTGGGGGGTCTGTGGCCTTTAGCAAGGTCAGGGACGGATGATGGGACAGTTCAAGTTGGAAGGGGTCTCATGAGGTTTCCAGTCCTGCCTCCCACTCAAAGCAGGTATAGTGGTGAAGTCCTCACCTTGCAGGATCTTGCCCCATCCTTGGCCTTCACACCTCACATGGGCCTTGCTGACAGCACTAACCCTGCAGTCCCTGCCAGGCCTGATGGTGGACGGGTATTTCCAGTGCCTGACACCCCTTCCCTGCTTTTCCCATGCAGATGTGGTGCCAACCCCACCAGATGGGCCTCCCACCATAGCCTTGGTGACCGGCAGAACCATCACACTGACGTGGAACAAGCCCAAATGGCTGGACACTGCCATAGGTGAGGGGGCCAGGGCTAGGACATGGGGTGGGCAGGGGTGTTCAGCAATGTGATGCAGCGTGCAGTCAGGCTCAAGGCTGGGGGCTGACCACTGGCCCTCTCCCCAAACAGACCCTGCCTCAGTGACCTACGTGGTGCAGATGCAAGTGCTGGGCACGACACAGTGGATGGTGCTGGTGACTGGTGTGCGGAAAACCACCTACACAGTGCACAGACTCACCAAGGGTGCCCAGTACCTCTTCCGTGTCATCACTGCCACCCCCAAGACCAACAGCAAGCCCTCCCCACCAGTGGGGCCCGTGCAACTCCTGGATCGGGGTGAGATGGGCGGTGGGGAGGGGTGCTGGGGTGGATGGATGGATGGATGGATGGATGGATGGGTGGATGGATGGATGGATGGATATCCATCCCCAGTGCCAGGTGCCAGCACAGAGAGGGGTGGCATGGCGTCTGGAGGTGGTGGTGATGATGTGTGTGGCAGGTCCCTACCTGGAGACGGCCCCAGTCATCCTGGACAAACCAGACTTGGTCTATGTGGTGGAGGGTCAGCCAGCCTCTGTCACCATCACTATCAACCACGTGGAGGCCACTGTCACCTGGAAGAGGTAGGACATGATTCAGTGCCCATGACTTGCCCCATGCCCAGCATCAGCTTATGGGGTGCACAAAGGGGGTCCCACACCAGCTGCTCGTGTAGCCCTTAGCTGAGGGTCCTCTGTTGGGGCTGGCAGGCCAGAGGGTGATGTCCAAGGCTGTGTGGAGCTATTCATGGAGGCCATGGAGTACAGCGGGGCAGGGTCTGCCTGTGGGTCAGGAGCTGGCCATGGGGCTGTGAGGTGGAGCTGTCTCTGTGTCTGCAGACAGGAGCTTCACAGGGGCGGGGAGGAGGCCGTGGGGCAGGAATGGCAGCAGGCTGATGGCGTGTGCCCACAGGGGTGGCGTGGTGCTGGCGGAGCAGGAGGGCACGTGCGAGGTGATGATGCCAGACGACGATCAGCACTGCCTGCGGCTGCTGCAGGTGGGCCGCGGCGCTGTGGGGCCACTCACCTGCGAGGTGAGCAACCGCCACGGCACTGCCCACTGCACCCTCCACCTCCGCCTCGCAGGTAGGTGCCCTGCATCGCACCACACGGCCCCCTGCCCGTGTGCCGTGGGGGTGCCCCATGCCCAGGTACCCCAGATTAGCATTGTCCCACGGAGCCCCATGCCATACGTGGCACTGCTGCTCTCCTGTATATAATGGGGTGGCACTGCCACATGCGGCTCTATGCTCACAAGCTTTGGGGATCAGCTTCTCCATGTCCCATACCTGCATCACTGCTCCACAGTACTCCACATCTGTGTGTAATGGCCCACTGTGCCCCATGCCACATGCTGTGGAGCTGGCACTACCCCAATGTCCACCATGCTCCTACAATAGGGGACCGCCCCATGATGGCCCTCACCCAAATGCACTGGTGTGGCACTGCCCCACGATACTCCCTGCCCCTGTATTCCAGCCTGGCACTGTCTCACAGTGCCCCACACCTGTACACCATGGGGCAGTACCCCGTGGTGCCCCATGCCCCGTCTCTCTGCAGAGGCACCGCGCTTTGAGTCCATCATGGAGGACATCGATGCCCAGCAAGGCGAGACGCCACGCTTTGCAGTGGTGGTGGAGGGCAAGCCGCTGCCGGACATCATGTGGTATAAGGTGGGCTGCCACCCCCAAAACCCCTTCCTGACCCACAGCCCTCCCCCATCAGACCCACAGGGCCTGCTCCTTGCTGCTACCTCACATCCGTGCCTGTGACAGGGCTTTGGGTCTGAGTCTGCCCCAGTGATGTAAGATACATCCCGTGCCAAAAGCCCCCAGCCTTTCTTTGTGCCCTGCC